AACTCCACCGACACTCTATCCTTCAGCGTGGCTGGATCCTCACCGGCCGTCGCAGAACGAACCAGATTCAGCACCCGGTTGGCGAACGTTGCAGGAGCCTCCCCTGGCTCCTGCTTGCAGATGGAGAGTTTTTGCCGGGCGACGTATCATTGCTGCGGGCTTTCGAAGAAATTCCGAAGATGAGTGATGATGGCATCGAAGCTCTTCCGTGCTCCCTCGTCCAATTCCTCCACTTTTTCCCGAGCCACTTCATTAAAATGTCCAATTAGGAAGTTGGCCTTCTGTTCACTACTAAGTTCCGAAGGGTGCATACGGATGATATCATTGAGACGGCGCAGCCAAATAGAGAACTGGATGCCATCCTCGGACGATCCAGTGAATGGGGCTATCTTCGGCGAAGGAGAGTCCTGGGCTAACATCGCAATGATTGGAATAGCCTTCAACCGACTCCCTACTGCTGTAAAAGATTCATTTAGTTTAGACGACAAAGAAGCATTGTCTTCATTGAAGCGGTGCGCGAGGGCCGAAGTCTGCGAACGGGCTTCCCTCCACACCTGTGTGATAGCAGCTGAAGCTGCATGGCGAAGTGCCTTCCCATCCTTAACATGCAATACAGCCGAGTCATCCAATCTAGAGAGAGAGTTATCTAATGGTGCCGTGACGGAACCGTAGCTGACGTTTACGTTTTCGATGTTAGGAGTATCTACACCAGTTATCAAATGGTACGTTTTCGATGTTAGGAGTATCTACACCAGTTATCAAATGGTTACCTTGGAGTTACAGTTCGGTTTCGGGTTCAGGGGCGCCCGCCCCAATAGACGGCGGCGATGGAGAATTCGACGCAGCAGTGGATGACGACTGACTACGAGTCAGCGGCATCGAGACGAAGTAGAAGACGAAGTAGACCGAATATGTAGAATACAGTCAGATGAATGACTTAGGGTTAAGTGGCTTACATATTCGTAGACGGGAGGCGGGGCGATACTGGCGGAAAAGCATGAAAGGAATCCTCGTCTAGATGGTGCGGTGGGAACTGTGTTAACCCACTATGGATCGATCCCTCGCATTCCCTTGATGTTTGCAAAAAAAANAAAAAAAACCGTGGGAACTCACGAAGTCGGAGCTCCGCGAAATGTCAAAAATCCGTATCAGACCGAACTTCGTGGAAACCGACTTGAAGCTGTAAACAGCTCGTACGCGAGACTGTCGAGAAGATCTTATCTGATGGGAAACGGCGAAAAGACGCGAGGGCCGCGCCGGCTGCAGACAAAGAGCCGGGTTACGGTAGCGACGGCGAGCATCTGTTGCGGCGGAGAGATGGTCAAGAAACCAGACGTCCGAGACGGAGAGAACGGCGATCCTACGCTAAACTTCGAGAGAGTACCATAGACGACCGAAGACCGTCTTCCCCTCAAAGTTATGCCGGAAGCTAAGCTTGCTGGCAAAAATTTCGGCGTTTCCTTCTTGAAAACACCTTTCCAGAAGCAAATATAGCGTACAGGTATGCTTGACTCCTCGGTTACCCCGCCAGATTGTTCAGAGGTGAGCGAAACCTTGGGGTCGAGTTAAGGCGCAAATACCCTATTTCTATGCGGCGCACCTGCCGCTGGTTTCACCTGGTTTCGAATTATAACGGCCAACTCATAACATAGTGGAAAACGAGTAAATAGCAACACATATAATAATATAAGTAATAAAAGTAAAGAAAAGATACGCGGAGAAAACATGCAATAAACGAAGCTCAAGTTTACGGCCATCGGGCAAATGTTTTGAAGCATTTATCATAACTGAACAAAAGAG